TTGTTTTTGTACTCCTAATAACGTACCGTGCATAAAATCGTATGGAAATCCCCATATTGCATTAAAATGAGGTAATTTCAATACAATAGCCCAACCCTTTACGCCTCTGACCGATTTTTTAATTTCCTGAGCTTCCATAACGTCTTTTACATGGGTTTCATGACTTCGAGACAAATCACAATTAGTGTCACAAAATAAATAACGCACACATCCACGCAAGTATTTTCCGTTAGCGTAACACCACGAACAACCGTTGTAGCCATTGTATTGGAGCCTATTTTGGACAACAGGACGGGCTACTGAGTCGACAACACAAAACATTGGCGCAAATTTAAATATAATCCGTTTTTGTCTGTTATTGATCACAATGCCTTCTTCAAACAATTGTATTGCCTCTTTAACAAATTGTTCTAAAAACGTATTCATCATTTCAGGCGTTGGTTCTTTATCTCCTACCCATAAAGCACACATTAGAACATGTTTGAATTGCATAGATGGTTGTAATTCGTTTATATACAGAAGAATCGGCCAACTGCTTTTCTTACTGCTGTTAAAGATAGGCATACCATCGGTGTTGAAATTGTAAGTCAGAAGATACTCATCATTAGCTTCGTATGAATATTTTGAGATCAAATTTCGATATACTTTACTGTCCGACACATCACCTATTGTCCCATTGCAACCTTCATTTTTCCTGTCATTACGCCCGCATATATAATCGATTACATGTTGCTGAATGTATGTATTACTCAATAACTCTATCAATTGATACTTTAAATCAACGTAAATAAATTTATTTTCGGATTGCATTGACAATAGATATTTTTCGTTACACTTTCTGCAGGTTGAAGGTTGATTTTTAAACTCTGTTTTGCATATTGGTCCTAGCAAACGCGCTTTGCATAATGTACAATAAAATGTGTAAGTGAATATATTCTCTGGTGAATCGTACTTTTGCTGTATATTATATTTACTGAATTGCCCGTTGTTATGTCGTGGCCCGGCAAGACACTTAGCTAAGTCTACGATCGCTTTTCTTACTTCATAAGACAAATTATATCGCAAGCAAAGTCCTGTAATCATCTCCATTACATCTGACACTGTCAGTGCAGAAGCTTCAAACATTATAGAATCGTCGTCATTATTTCTATCGTGTAGATCTTCATTCTCTACATTATCGGCCATTTCAGCTTCATCATAATCGGTGGTGCTTTTCTCATCGCTAAAGCTGTCATTGGAAATACTTTCACCAACAGAATTTTCTTCCTCATTATAGTGCGTATCAATTACATGTTCGTTACATATTGTACGGGATGGATATTGATTATCGTTTTCCAGAACAGTTATAGCCGTTTATTCTCTGCTTCTTACACACTTCCTTTACAACACTTCTTCTTACAACACGCTTTCGTTCTTCAGTCTCAGACACAGATATCACGTGACCTTAGGTCGAATCCGCAATTCCGTCTACCGCGATGTCAGCGCCGCGACAGCGAAGTCCCTAGCCATTACGATGGCGAATCAATATCGAGAATCGATCTGATCGAAGCTGTAACGTCCGCCGCCAGTACTACGTCGCCGAACGTTTTTTCCAAACACGCTAGATGGCGCCACCCACCCTATTTCATGCTTTTACTGTCGTATAATACGATTTATTTCAAACT